AAACAAAAATTGTCTTCCCACTTTGAGCGATGATATCTAGATAACTATCTATTCAAAATCAATGAAATTTTTTTTATTTTAATTCTATGAATATATAGAATTAAAATAAAATAAAATAAATTCATCAATATTAAGTATGCAGTTATCAAGATATCCGCGTTTAAAATTCAAAAAATTTTAGACTATTATCAAAGACTGGCCAAGTTTTTTTCCTTACTTTGAGCGATGATATCACGATAACTACCTATTCAAAATTGACAGAAATTTTTTTATTTTATTTCTATGAATTTATGGAATTAAAATAAAAAATTTTCATTGATATTAGGTAGGTAGTTATCGAGATATCTTCATTCAAAGTTTAAAAAAAGTTTATACAATGATACAAAGACTGCGGCTAAGTTCTTTCCAACTTTGAGCGATGATATCTTGATAACTATTTTAACTATTTATCTAAAAATCGATAAAATTTTTTTTACTTTAATTCTATGAATTCATAGAATTAAAATAAAAAATAACTTTAGATACTAGTTATCGAAATATCTTCGTTCAATATTTAGAAAGAACTTAATCGTAGTCTTTTAATTAAATTTTTTTTTTTTTAGCATTAAACGAGAATATCTCAATACTATCACTTAACATTTGATAATAAAAAAATAATTTTAATTCAATGAATTCATAGAATTAAAATAAGAAATTTTCACTGATTTTTAATAGGTAGTTATCGTAATATCATCGCTTAAAATAAAGTTTTTTTAAATTTTAAACATGGATATCTTGATAACTACCTACCTAATATTGATGAAATTTTTTATTTTAATTCTATAAATTCATAGAATTAGATAAAAAATTGACTTTTACTAAAACGCACCTATATTATCTTAAAAACTGGCTAATTAATCAGTGCAAGATGTCCTAAGTAAAAATGCTCTACGCCCAATCCTAACACTAAATACTAACACTATCATGAAAATTTCATATTCAAAACAGAAAAATATATAAAAAAACATAATTAAACATATGATAGGTGCAAAACCACTTAGATGCGTTTTATAATAAATGAAAAAATTTTATAGATAGTTATCAAGATATTATCTCTCAAAGTTTGGAAAGAACAGCCGCATTTCTTGGTTAAACTTTGGGCGATGATATCTTGATAACTATCCATCCAAAATCGATGAATATTTTTTTATTTAATACTATGAATTCATAAATTGAAAATAAAAAATTTCTTTGACTTTTAATTGTAGTTAATGAAATAACTTCGCTCAAATTTGAAAAAAATTATATAATATTATTATCAAGAATTGCCGGTTTCGTCCAAACAGAACGTGATTGTTCGAGTAGAATCTATCTTCCCAGTACCGCCATAAAAGTGCAGTCACGTGAGAATTGAAAAATTCTTTAAAGTTCATTTAGGTTAGGTTAGGGTTTATGCTAGAGTTAGGGTTAGAGGGACTTTATTAGTACGTTTGTCTTGAAACTTCCTTGTTACACTTGATCTTGAAATCTGATTTGTTCACACCACAAAATTTCACGCGAGTGACCATTTGTCAGGCGATATTGGGGAATCTCACAATGGCCTTAACTTTTTTCGGTACTATTCTCTTGGGTAACTATATTTTGGAGTCCAATTCGTGGCCAATCAGGATCAACAAAAATGAAAACCCTTTTTAAAATTTTTAATTTTTTACAAATTCTAGCAAAGATTTCTCAAGAACTATTTGATAAAACTTAGCAAATTTATAAATAAATAAAAACTCATTGAATATAGATTCATAGTTATTTAGATATCTTTTGTAAAAGTTTAATTTGAATATCAAAAAAAAAATTCAAAAAATATTTTAACTTTAAATGAACATTATTCAACAACTATTTTTCCAAGCTCAATAATTTTTATCTTATTTTAATTCTATAGGTGTAAAATAAAAAAATTCGTCGAATTTAAACAAGTAGTTGTCAAGAAATATTCATTAAAAGCTAAAAAGAGTTTCCCCAGTTTTTATATATATATTTAAATTTTGAAAATAATTACTTGAAGCTTACCTGACCAAATTCGATAAATATATTTTTTTTATTTTAATTTTGTGGGTTCATAGAATTAAAAGAAAATTTTTTTATCAAATTTGATTAGTAATATCGAGTAATCTACATTTAAAGTTTAAGTATATATAGAAAAACACTTGTTTAAAATTTTTTAACTTTAATAAAATTTCTTATCTTTAATAATACCTGTTTAAATTAAATAATTTTTTTATTTTAATTACAGTATATAAATCATAAAATTAAAATATAAAAAACCTTTATTGAATTTAGATAGATGCTTGTCAAGAAATCTTTATTTTAAGTTTTTTTTTTAGAAAAAACTATAACCAATTTCTATTCAAACTTTAAATAAGGATTTTTTGGTACTATCTATTTGGATTTGATGGAAATTTTTTTATGATATTTTAATTCTATAAGGTTGTAAAATTAAAAATTAAAAAAAGTTTACTTAGCCTCACTGCAGGTAATTATTACTACATATACGTATTATATATTCTTTAAAAAATTGAAATTTATAGTAAGAGTTAGACAGAATCAGGGTAAAAAAAGTCAAACTATATATAAAATTGCATGCTAAAAACTTTTACTTAATACCCAAAGATGCATTACTATAATAAAATATTTTATTTTACTATTGTTTTATTACACAAAGTTCTATAATTTAATTGGTCAAATATATAGCAGTAATGACTATTTGTAGTGATATTTATAAATACTAATAAAAAACTGATATAAATTGAGCAAGTTGTTATTAAAAAATATTTATTAAAAGGTAAAAATAATTTAATCGCAGCTTTTATTTCTGTAGATATTTAAACTTTAAATAAAAATTATTAGATATTTTAAAGCTTAAGCATTTATAGAAAAAAGAGCTGCAGCTAATTTTTTTGGAAAATGATATTTCCACACTCTTTTTTGATAATACCACACCCCGCTGATTATTCTAATTTTTACAATTTTCGAACTTTGATCAAGATATCTCGACATTTACCTGACCAAATTCGATAAACTTTTTTTTTCAAGTTCTACTACTTCTACAATTAAACTAAGAAAAAAGCTCATCGAATTTGGTCAGGTGGTCGTCGAGATATCTTCGATCAAAGTATTTTAAATTTAACGCCTATCAAATAGAAGCCATGTTGCAGATTGTTATAAAATTTTGATCAAAAATATCTACCTGACTAAATTCGGTGAGCTTTTTTTTTGAATTCTACAAATCTCTACAACTAAAAATAAAGAAATTTCATCGAATTTTGTCAAGTGGTTGTCAAGAAATTCTCGACTAAAAATTTGTAAATTTTGCAGATTGTTGTGATAGTTTGAACAAAGATATCTCGACATCCACCCGACCAAATCCAATGAACTTTTTTTCTTTGAATTCTATTGATTTCTACATTAAAAAAAAAAGCTCATAGAATTTAGTCATGTAGTTGTCGAGATATCCTCGACCAAAGATGTTGTAAGCTTAAATGTCGTGTTACAGATTGTTGTGAGACTTTGATGGAAGATATTTCTGATCAAATTCGGTGGTTTTTTTTTGTTTTTAAAAAAATTAAAATGATCGGCGTGGGTGTGGCATTATCAAAAAAAGGTGTGGAAATATCAATTTTCTTTTTTTTACTTTTAACTAATTGTTCCCAATACTAATATATTCAAATTAGATAAATTTTTTTATTTATAGAATTAAATAAAAAAATTTTATTACATTTAAATTAATAGTTTTTAAGCAATTATTAATTAAAGTTTAAATAAAAATTTTTAATTTTTTAAATTTTATAAAAATTTTTTTAATAATTTTTTATTTTAATTTCATGAATTTGTAGAAATAAAATAAAAAATTTATCAAATTGGAATATATAGATATTAGGATATATTAATTAAATATCATAAAAAAAGTTGTCGACAACTCTTTTTTTACGAATATCTAAACTTTGAACAAAGATTACTCAGCATTTTACATAACTAATTTAATTAAATTTTTTTATTTTATTTCTATAATTTTATAAAATTAAATCAATTAAATTTGTTGGATAAATGCTAAGTAATCGTTGTTAAAGGTTAGATATCTAAAAAAAAGTTGTAGCTAAATATTTTTTAATATTAATCAATATTTCTCAATATCTATCTATTTAAATTTGATAGAATTTTTTTTATTTTAATTTTACAATCTTGCTAGAATTAAAATAAAAAAAATTATTAAATTTGGATCAATAGTTGTTGAGAATTATTATTTAAAGTTTCAAAAAAAAATTTATCTAATTTTAAAATTTTTTGATATTTTAAAATTTTTTAAAAATTCTAATAAAGGTTATTTGATAACTACTAAAATTCAAAAACTTTTTTATTTTGATTTTACAAATATATAAAAACAAAATAATCAAATAGCTATTGAGAAATATTTGCTAGTAATAGTACACTCGATGTCTGTGTGTTAGCAAATTCTGAACTAGATCAGGCGTAACATAAAAGAGAAACAATTAAAACAATAGGTAATCGATGCTTATTGGCAAGATCAGGTGCAATATAAAAATCAGTTTTTTTATATTTAGTCCTTCGGACTATAAATAGTTTAAAATTTCCCAGTTACTAATAACTAATAACTAATAATAACCAATATTAATAACTAACAATTATATTTAATGGTTTACTATATGTAGCACGTTAAAATTTGTAAATAGTAATTTTTAAAAAATTCGATAATTTTATTATTAATCAAAAAATTCTATATTATACTAGAATATTTATTAGATCATTGTATATTAAAATTATTAAAATTTATAAATTTAAATAAATTTAACAAAATGCACTACTGGCAGCCTTTAAGCATAAATCTAGTAGATTACAACTTATTTATCTGTAATTATATTATATCGCTTAATTTTAATGATTACATTATTCTATCAAAAATTTCACTAATATGTATTCGATGGTTAGTTACATTTCAAATTGCTGGATTATCAAATCGGATGGTTTAGTACTGTAGGTATTGAATGGTGTGGCTGATTTGCTACTGTAGGTTTTGGTGTTACAAAAGGCCTTTCTTTCTCTGAGTGATCTCCATTCGAAGCGGAAGTTTTGCTCACTGGATACTTGTGATATGTTGTTTCAGAATTTGCATTGTCGTTTTGATGATGACCTCCTTCTTCAGAAGTTGCATTGTCGGAGCGATAATAATCTTCTTCTTCTATGTGATGATATGCCGACTTGGGATAAGGATTCGAAGTGGGATATGGATTCGAAGTGGGATATGGAGTGAGAATGTGAGCACCAGTGGGAGGGATCGGAGTGTGAGCACCGGTGTGAGCACCAGTGGGAGGGATCGAAGTGTGAGCACCAGTGGGTTGGATCGGAGGGTGGGCACTAATGTGAGCACCGGTGTGAGCACCAGTGGGAGGGATCGAAGTGTGAGCACCAGTGGGAGGGATCGGAGGGTGGGCACTAGTGTGAGCACCAGTGGGAGGGATCGAAGTGTGAGCACCAGTGGGAGGGATCGAAGTGTGAGCACCAGTTGGAGGGATCGGAGTGTGGGCACCAGTGTGAGCACCAGTGTGAACACCAGTGGGAGGGATCGGAGTGTGATAGTGCGAAGTGCGAACTACAGGTGGCTTCAAATAAATAGCTAAATCGAATACATTATGTACCAGAAGTACTGATTTGAAATAGCTTTTATCGAAATTATGTTTAAAATATCTTAAGTTGCACTTTAAAATAACTGAAGTTACCGCTTTAGATATACAAAATTGCTATTTCAGGTATTTGAAGTTGCTATTTTAAATATTTGAAGTTGCTATTTTCAGATATTTAAGTTGCTACTTTAAATATTTGAAGTTGTATTTCAGATATTTAATAAGGCGCCAATTAGATATTTGAAATTATTACTTTAAATATCTGAAGTCACTATTTTAGATAACTAAGGCTGTTATTTTAAATATGTTTTGAAAATTGCTACAGAAACAGTAAAATAGACATTCTAAGATAAAGAAAGTATTTGAATATTTTGAAATCAGCCAAAGGTGGAAAACTAATATTGAAATTTGTTACCAGTATAGGTATATTTAAAACCATTTGAATGGGTATTTGAAATAAGCTGAAGGTGTAAGTTCTGGCGGACAACTCGATGCTGGTGTTTGTTACTAAGAAACCATGTGTATAACTAAAGATGAAAGAAAGGCATTGTTAGCTGCAGAAAGTGGATATTGCGTCATCATGTTATACGTAGGTATTTCCAAATATTAAAAAGAAAGCATTTGAATGGTACTTGAAATCAGCTAAAAACGGAGATTATAATGCACTGTTAAATAGAATTTGCTACAAAAATGGCTTAGATATTTCTAAAAGTAAAATAAAGAATTTTGAGAGGTATTTAAAATCAACACAAAGTGAAAGTTCTAATTTAATATTAGATCTTGGAAACTAATATTAATATGGGAAAGGCGTACTAAAGATGAAATGGACACATTTGAATTGTATTTAAAGTCTTCAAAAAGCGGAAATTTTCAAGCACATATAGTGTTGAAATTGTTATCAAAATGACATAGGTGCTTTTAAGATGAATAAAAGACATTTTAAATAGCGTTTAAGGATCAGCTAAAGGTGAAAATATGAAAACATAATTCAATGTTGGAAATTATTACGAAAATGATATAGGTATTTCAAAAGAAAAAAAAGAAGGCATTTGAATGGTATTTAAGATCTGCTGGAGGTAGACATAATTAAATGTAGGAATTTGTTATCGAGCGGAACATCTCAAAACCAGGAAAAGTGAATGGTTGAAAAAGTCATCACGATCATTCTTTAATCAATTGATTTAGGTGCTTGAGAACGGCCTTAATGAGACGATTCAAACAGTATTAAAAATCTTAAACGTTAATAATTGGTTTTAAGGTATTTTTATTAAAAGTAAATATTCAAAAACATTATTTACTTATTTGTAGTATGTCAAACTTTGTAAAAATAATAATTTAAATTTTTATTAATAAATGCAAAAAAATTATTTCTAGATCATACTAGAATTTTTATAAAATTTTTGTATATTAAAATTATAAAAATTATAAATTTAAATAAATTTAATAAATACATTACTGTAGCCTTTAATATATTAACTTATTTTATCTGTAATTACTTATTTTTAATGATTACATTATCCTATTGAAAAGCTTCGCTATGAATTTATTGATAACTAAAATAATAAATATCAAAAGTTAAATGAATTTCAATGTACTAAATATGTAGATCTACATTTATTCTCAAATTCTTTGATATATATGTGGATTTTCTCACTTTAATAATTTCCTTATCCAATTTCGCCCTTCACGTAGTTTTTTGTGCTTTCTGTCCTTGTGCTACCGAAGGCTTTTGTGGTGAATTTTGTTTCTGTCCTTGTGCTACTGAAGGCTTTTGTGGTGAGTTTTGTTCCTGACCTTGTGCTACCGAAGGCTTTTGTGGTGAATTTTGTTCCTGACCTTGTGCTACCGAAGGCTTTTGTGGTGAATTTTGCATTTGTTGCGTTTCTTTAGGTTGCTGTCCTTGTGCTACCGAAGGCTTTTGTGTGAATTTTGCATTTGTTGCGTTTCTTTAGGTTGCTGTCCTTGTGCTACCGAAGGCTTTTGTGGTGAATTTTGCCCTTGTTGCGTTTCTTCTTTATTTTGCGGCTTTCCCGAAGCAGTAGTTTGGCTATTTGACAATTTTTTATAATATCCTTCTGAATTGGGAGAAGGATGTGAAGTGGGAGAAGGATGTGAAGCGGGAGAAGGATGTGAAGCGGGAGAAGGATGTGAAGTGGGAGAAGGATGTGAAGTGGGAGAATGATGTAAAGTGGGAGAATAATATAAAGTGGGAGAATGATGTAAAGTGGGAGAATGATGTAAAGTGGGAGAATGATGTAAAGTGGGAGAATGATGTGAAATGGGTTTTGAAGTGGGACATGTCGAAGTGGGTTTTGAAGTGTGTGATCGAGTTAGAGAGTGTGATCGAGTTAGAGAGTGTGATCGAGTTAGAGAGTGTGATCGAGTTAGCGAGTGTGATCGAGTTAGAGAGTGTGATCGAGTTAGCGAGTGTGATCGAGTTAGCGAGTGTGATCGAGTTAGAGAGTGTGATCGAGTTAGAGAGTGTGATCGAGTTAGAGAGTGTGATCGAGTTAGAGAGTGTGATCGAGTTAGAGTGTGTGTTCGAGTAGGTGGAGTAGTTGGAGTGCGTGTTCGAGTGGGCGGTGGAGGGGGTGTTCTAGTGGGTGGTGGTGGAGGGGGTGTTCGAATGGGTGGGGCTACTGGTGGAACCACCGGCGGTGCTGGTGGTGTGGCAACTGGCGGGGATGCTGGTGTGGCAACTGGTGGAACTACTGGCGGTGCTGGTGGTGTGGCAACTGGTGGAACTACCGGTGGTGCTGGTGGTGTGGCAACTGGTGGGGCTACTGGCGGTGCTGGTGGTTGTGGTGTACAACCTTCGCCGTTAATTATAGCAATTGGAGCACTAGATGTAATACTTGAACTTCCTGAATTACTTTTACCATTAATGACAAGATACGTGCCAGTAGCTGGACCTTGACCACTAAGTCGTTCAGGAGAATTATCGCAGGTAAAGTTATTATTATATAAGTCTTGATCACAGGTTTGATATTTAAACCCATCATTATTGCAATCCCAGGTCAATCCTTCGATCTTAACTACCCATGGCTTAGTTCCCCATTCTCCAATTTCACATGTATCTAATTTATCAATTCTTTTATAAAGAAGACCTCTATTTTTATAACTTAATGAATTTGATTTTTTATTATCAGAAGGATAACCATTACAATCACTATTCTTAGCGTATTCCGTATGGAGATAAGAGGTGAGATTAAAAACGACATTTTTGCACCCGTTTTGAATAGTCCAATCGTAAGTCCAAGTTTCTGGGCTCTGAAATCCCCATTGGTACGTACCCGTAATCCATACCGCACCTTGGGAGTCCTGATAGAATGAGATATCACCCTTAATATCTCTATTATGGACTGCCGAAAGGAGAACATTTGTGCAAATATCACCTCTTTTGAAGTTATTTGAATAAGTAGCAGTCTCCGATAAGGAGACCATTAAAACAATTAAAACGATCAAAGAGTTAAACATTTTTAAAAGCATTATCAATGGTTTAGACATGAATTCTCAAATATTAGAGAAATATTTGATAAGCAAGGAATAAAAAAAATTATTCCTAAGAGAAAATGTCATTATAGAAAAAGCATCCTTATATACTTATTTCCGATATTGTTTTTAATATTAAATTCCCGTAAATATCAAAAGGAAATTCCGATGTTTATTAAAGCCAACGACACAATGTAATCAACACTATCAATGAAAATATTAATATAGAATAATTATTCGTAATATATTTGCTTGGCGTCAAATCAATATCTATGTTAGATTAAAAACAATAATAATGCTACCTTTACACTAACATAGTTTTTCCATAACTCTAATGAAACATTCCTAGCACTAAAATTTGATCTGACAAAATTTTATTTGACGTACATACGCACAGCATAAATCACAAAGCTTTCGCTCGTGCATGTTCATATTAATATATTCGAGTAACACGACATGACGTAAACCACCAATGATAACATTGATTTCTAGGGTTTCCTCTTGTTTCCTTTTTATATAGTTTGTAATACACCCTAACATTTCTTTTATTTATATTGCTTTATCTATATTAGCATATATATTTCTATATTAGTATATATATGTCGTACGTACCTAAAGTAGCACCCTGCTCTAGGTATAGTATCATCATCTGAAGTCTACTTTGCCACCCACTCTAGATATCTGAAGTATCTAAATAAATAGCTACTTTGAATTCTTTACTATACCTGAAGAACTCTTGTTGCTACATTAGATATCTGAAATTACTATTTTAAATATCTTTAAAGTTGTTACTTCAGATATTTCAAATATCTGAAGTTGCAACTAAAGTAGCAATTTTAAACATTTATAGTATCATCTTCAAATATCTAAAATTGTTATTTCGGATAGTTTACCGACAATTACTCGACAAACACTTCCCCGTCAAGTATTTTCTGACAAATATTTCCCCGCCATAACCATTTTCCTGATAACATTCTCTCGACAACCATTTCCCCGACATGACCATTTCCCAACATGACGTGATTGTTGGGGAAATGGTCATGCCGGGAAATGATGGTTGTCGGGAAAATGGTTATGGCGGGTAGGGATTGTACCCGGGTAGAAATTGCTATTATGTGACATAGTAATTTATCCGGATAACCCGGTAATTTAATAATACCCAATGGAGGTTTTCCCAATGGGTACAATCTCTATGGCGGAGAAATATTTGTCGAGAAAATAGTTGTCGGGTAAAATAATAGACAATCAATAATCTTTTAATTACATCGTTTACAAAAATTTGATCAATTAAAAATTTTGGTAGGTCAATGATGTTCGTGCTTTACAAACAAAACATGATTTACAACACGAAACTAGACTTTTTCGGATTACCATTGTATTACAAATTTATAACCAATTCCAAAAAGTCGAGACAAATCCAAATCAGCGGCACCAAAACAATGCGATTTTTTTGACGGTTTAAGACCAAATAACAAAAGATTCTATATTTTGACCAGCTCATCTATTTGTCCCTCCTTAAAGACAGTGTTTTTATTTGCCTTGTTATTATAGAAAAAGAAATTTATTTATTAGGCTACGCAAAGTTAATTTTTCGTTTTGCATAACCCGCCAGCCCAATTTTTCAAAAAAAAATATTTTTTAAAGTTCCAATTGCTCCAATTATTCCATTTTTGCTATTTAAGTTTTTCCCGTAAATTTACCCGACATCACCCGATAGTGAACTTAATGTCCGTAATAACCCGACAGGCCTGTTAAAAAAAAAGGAAACAAGAGGAAACCCTAGAAATCAATGTTATCATTGGTGGTTTACGTCATGTCGTGTTA